CAGAGCTTAGGTGGAGGGTTTTGTTTTGTTTTGTTTTGTTTTTTAATTGGAGGAAAGTGAATAAAAACTCCCGAAGAAATGACAGACTTCGGTACTGGAGCAAGGAGCACGGAGACAGCAAGTTGTATGTGGAACATTCGGATATGAAAGCTATCAAAGAAGTGCTCAAAGAACCAAAGGAACACGAAGTCAACTTGAAAGGTCTTCTCAGGGCCAACTGGGAGATAAGTTGAATAGCAAAAGAAGCATTAATTGACACAGATTTTCACCCCTTGATTAAAGTGTGAACTCATAAATCAATAGTAATGTATATGGATGAAGGCATATGGCAAATTGCCCCAACTTCAAGTGCTCACCCTGATGAAAACTCCTTGAGGCTCCCCAGACATCAAGTACTCCAAGGAAATGGGCTATGAAAGATTCATTGGTTCAGGAAGGAGGCTTCCACTTTCCAATACTGTTGCCTGAAGTTATGACTGAAGGATAACAATGGAGGATTGCTATGTGCTTAGCAACTGAGAGAAATATTAAATTGAACCCATCAAACAGTCTAACAGCAAATGCAGCAGGCTCTGGTCTAATGCGCTTTAGGATGGCTTTTGGAGCCCCAGGTGCTCTGGCTCCACGCCACTGCCTTGTTTAAGAGATAGGGTCTATGGACTGGGATAAACTTTTATGGATGGATACTTATCTCAGCGTCAACTCAAGTTTAAAACACGCAGGATCGGCAGATTGTTTCTTGGCTTTACAGCTTGGGCTTCCTAGTTTCATGTGGACTTGAGGCACCTATAGTTATCTGAGAGACGAGAACTTCAGCTGAGTCCTTAAGATGGGCTGAAGGTGGGCCTGCAGGACATTTTCTTAATTAGTAAGGTAGGATAGTCAGCCCATTGTGGGTGGTGCCATCCCTGGGCTGGTGGTCCTGGGTTCTATAAAAAAGCAAGATGAGTAAGCCATGAAGAGCAAGTCAGAGAGCAGCACCCATCCATGGCCTCTGCATCAGCTCCTGCCTCCAGGTTCTAGCCCGACTTCCCTCAGTGAACTGTGGTTCAGGATACACACGGCAAACATACCCCTTCTTCCCAAAGTTGCTTTTGATGATGATGTTTCATCATAGCAATGGTAATCTAATGAAGACACAACTTCATTGTCTGCTTCCTGGACACCTAGGAGCTTCCTAATAAGCATTCACAGTCCAGTGTTTTATTTTATTTTATTTTTTCAGCCTCAGAGTCACTGAAAGCAGTTTTGGATGTTACAGAATAAATGAGTGAGATCTGGGTACTTCATCCAGAAAAACTCAAAGTGCAACTTAAAGTGCAATATTGAGGATAATTGCATCAGGAAATGAGGGTTCTGTGAAAACAGAGGAAGACCCCAGGCGTGTTCCTGTGCTTCCCAAACACAACCCTTTTTTTTGGAGCTGACCACATGGGAAAAACCCTAGTAGTAAAGACAATGTATGTTTGTGGGATGCAGATGAAAGTTGGCTACAAAAGTTGAAAGCTGTTTTAGGAACTGATTTTTAAACTCATGCCATTCTAGAAAGATCTGGCTTCCAGCTGGCTTGTGGAATTTGTCATACCTATCTTGTTAATGGCACCATTTTGAGTAGGCTTTCAATAGCTCCTGGTGTAGACAACCTTCCCATCAAATGTACTGTAACTAATGATGGGCAGGGTGGGGGGAAGTTATTTTTTAGTAGGCAGAGTTTCAACTTCACATTGGGTAATGTCCATATTTTATGTCAACTGCCTTGAAAATTTCTTGGAGGAAACCTTAAAGTCAGAATGTAACATTTCTGTGATGAGCTGGGAATTTTAAAAATTATCAAAATAATTTTTTAATCTCTTAGAAAACATAAATCAGGGGCTGGAAAGGTGGTCCTGAAGTTAAGATCGCTTGCTTTAAGACTGCTTGCTGCTTCTCTAGAGGACCTGAGTTTGGTTCCTAGCACCCACACCACACCACATGTTTCACAAACAGCTGTAACTTTAGTTTCATAGAATCTGATGTGGGCTCCTCAGGTACCCACATACATGTGTGCACACACACAGACACACTTTTATAGCAAAATAAAAAGTATACATACATACATATGTATTCATTCAGGGAGGGAGAGAGAGAGAGAGAGTCAGAGGCAGGTGGATCACTGTGAGTTCTGTCTCAAAAAATCAAAAAGAGGGAAGAAAAACAGCAACAGGAAAATACGATAAAATCCCAACAGTACACAATTGCCTTTGCCTCTTTGTTAAGAATAAGGGGGCATAGCTACATTTTTATAGAACTTTCTAAGTCTGTGACCCTGTGGTCAAGTAAAAGTGTATCTATAAAAAAGATGGAGTGCTTGACTCTTAGGCTAAGTGTGATGTGGTAAAATCTTGATGGGGTTCTTAAGATGAATTTGGGGACAATATGTCACTAGTTTATTTTTTGGGGGGGAGGGGAGGGTTCATGATACAACATTTTTGCCTCAGCATGCTCTCCTATAGAAAAATTACACTTTGTTAATTTTGTTAATTTTTGTTATCCAAGTATTTTTGTAGGAACCCTGTAAGAATGAAAAACAAAACTTGAAACATAAGAAAAACAGTAACACATAGGAGTGAATGAATGGATTAAAATCTATTAGGAGTAGCCAGCCTGGTCCCACTGCTGCATCAGCCCTAAATAACACTTAGAGACAAGTATTAATTATGAATCTGTTGGCTGGTTACTAGTGTTTCTTATTGGCTAACTCTGTCTTAAACATTAACCCATTTCTATCAATCTAAGTGTTTCCACATGGTCTTATCTTACCAGAGAGAGGGTCCTACATCTTGACTTCTTTCTACTATATCTTCCAGAATCCTCCTTTCCTAGTCTTGCCTATCTTGTTTTCCTATAGGCCAACAGTGCTTTATTCATTAAACAATAAGAGAAACATATTACAGAATGACATCTCCCATCAAAAATCTTGAGCTGGGTCTGGTGGGCACAGACCTGGAACCCCAGCTATTTGTGAGACTGAGTAGAACACAGTTTGCCATAAATTGTAATGATAGAGTTTAGTAAAGAGATGCTCAGGTTAAGAGTAGATGCATCCAAATGTGGATACAGGTTCTCAAGGGGCAGCTGTGCCTTTTTAATGTCTTCCAGTGGACTTGACGTCGTAAATAATGTTGGCCTTAATACCCTATGACCTACAACAGTGACCTGCATACAAGGCACACCCGTACAATAGCAGTGTAAATGTTCTGGGAATAACAAACCACTTTTTGGTTGGATTTAAGGACCCTGCAAGGGATAGATTCCATACATAACATTGCTAAAGTGGGCAAAGACTTGAGGCTAGATAGGCCATGAACCTAGGGAGAAATCTACTACTATTATTCTACTAAAAGAACAAAGTAATAAAATGGGACCAGGGACTCAACCCTGGTCACAGAGTCCCTGGTCACAGAGGCGTCTTTTTCAGTAGATGGGAATTAACAGAGACCCACAACTGGACAGTGTGTAGAGAGTGAGAAATTTTGGAGGGCTCAGCCCTAAATGAGCCTTCTTCATCATACCCCTCCCCTCAGGGGTCAGGATCTATGAAACTATGTGTAATTGATACCTGCTGGGAAGGGGTATTTCATTGCGCTCAATCAGGGGCAGTCACAGGCTTTCGAAAACATTCTAAGTTAACATCCTAACATTGTATAACCCCAAGTTGTAAAACTTGAAAAGTGATATGAGGTTAGGCCTGACCTCAAGGCTCTTTGTGAAAGCTCTTTGACCATACCCAGTGCTTGGGAGCTTGATGTTACTATAAGAAGAAGCCCCAAACCAGCCCCAACTTCCACAGCTTCACAAGCTCCTTCTCTGGCCGTGATCCCAGTTAACTGGTAAGCTTTTTGTGCTTTTTAACAAAGTTTGCTTCTGCTTCAGACGTTGGTGTTCTGTTCCCCCATCCTTGCACCCCAGGACCCAACAAACAACACATAACAGCATCCTGTGTGTGTGTGTTGCTTTTTTGTTTGTTTGTTTTTTGTTTTTGTTTTTGTCTTATTGACTTTTGTTTGATCTTGATCTTTTTGGCTTTGGGGTCATTTGGGGGAGAGAGAGAAAGAACACAAAGTTGGGTAGGTAGGGATATGGGGAGGAGTTTGGTGAGGAGAGAGAATATAATCAAAATATACTATATGTAATAATTTAAATTCATAAATGAAAGAAAAGGGGTAAGATACTGATGTTATAAGAAGATTATCAGACATTCTGGGTTCTTTAAATATAAAGAAAGATGATTTATTGGTCAATGTCTTTGTTTTTTAGACAGAATCCCATATAGTCCAGCCTGGCCTTGAACTTGCTAGGTAGCCATGAGTGGCTTTGAATGCTTGATCCTCCTGCCTCTGCTTCCCAAGTCATGAGATTATAGTCACTAGGCAATTTATCAGTCAATAGTCAATATCCTAACCATTTAAAAAGTATGGCTTCTTCTTAGAAAAATTTCTGGGGGGGGGGGTGCGGTAGCCAGGTGGTGGTGGAACACACCTTTAATCCCAGCAGAGGCAGGCGGATTTCTGTGAGTTCAAGGCCAGGCTAGTCTACAGAGTGAGTTCCAGGACAAAACAAAAACAACAACAACAACAACAACAACAAAAAAAAAAAAAAAAAAAAAAAAAAAAAGAGAGAGAGAAACAAAGGAAGAAAGATTACTGGGAGACAGGAGGGAATTGCAGGAATATTAAATAGGGACTACAGCACAGCCAGCAATCCTCCCCCACTGGGACGATTCCACTAAATGAGAAAGGAGGCTGCTTGCTATTTTATTTGTGTTTTGCTGTATTTTAAACATTCCTACAAATTAAAATAAGTGACATACATATCTAGCCAAAGCCCTTTTATTGCCTTCATAAAGTCAAGTAAGGGGCTGGAGAGACCGGTCATCGATTACAGCGCTTCGTGCTCCTGTAGAGGACCTGAGTTTGGTCCCCAGCACACACAGGATGGCTCAAGATTAAGGCCCAGCCCAGGCTGCGGGCGGAGAGTCAGGGAAGCCGCGCCTGCCGCCACGTCCGCTCTCCTGGTTTCGGTTTCCGAGTGTCTCCATTTTGCCTGCGCAGACCCGATGTCCACAGAGTGAAGTCTCTGAGATCTGAGCCACCCCAGCCACCACTCAGGGCAAAGACTGGTACGTGACCTGCGCGGTGTCACCCGCGCGCCACTCGCACTACTAGCGACGCTGCGCCAGGCTGAGATGCCGCATCTTCCCTTCCCCCGCTGCGAGCATACTGGCTCGTCCCAGAAGGCAGCTGCGAGCCGCTCGCCGGCTTACTGGGGCGACGGGCGGAGCCAGGGAGGGCACAGAGGACTAAAATTTCTCTGCCGGCTTGGCTCGCTGGGCACCAGCCTAGGCGCAGCACTCGCAGTCCTGTGCGCAGTCCCGCTTCGCTTTGCCTCTTCCTACTGTGCGGGTCCCAGCAGGTCGACTGCAGGCGGCGACAGCCCCCAGCCCTAGGTGGCCTGGTCTGTTCAGTCAATGGGACCCCGGAACAGGAGGGAGCACCCATAAAACCCAGGGGGAACACCCCTGAGTCCCCAGGAGGAAAACTGAAGATGAACTTGCCTGGTCGAACCACAAAAACCTTGCGTAAACATCTTGAGAGTTACTTGTTTCCTGGAGTTGAACTGTCTGAACTACCAGTTTTTGAATTGTTGATGTTAGGGATCATTTTTCTGAGTTGTGTGCATGCTCTATTGAGTTTACTCAGTGCCTCCTGTTTCACTTTCAAGAACATAGCGAAGTGCCTAGGTTATTTCCCAAAGCATTTTAGTATTGTTGACAAATGACAAGAATGCAACCTTAAAGTAAGCCCAATCCTGCTATTCTTTCTCACCCACTTTAGATGGGCAGAACTCTGAAGGTCTGAATTTGGCGTGGGAGGGGCAGGTTCGCTTGAACATTAACAAAGGACTGCAATAGAACAAAGGTCACTGTTGTACATACACAGTTCTGGAGAACTGGAAGTAATTTAAGGGCTCTAATAAATTTCTCCGGGTTAGTTAACCTTTGAAATTTGTTCCTACACTAAAGGGGTGAGGCCAGTAGGGGGGTTCACATAAGTCAGGCCTTGACCAATGGGAATGTTCTAAAATCTAAAACCGTAGTCTACAAAGAGATTTTAGATGGAAAAATGATGAGTTTTAAAAAAGGTTCTGAACAAAACAAAAGGCTCAGCTGTCCTGTATCACAAGCAACCGTGGTTTGTAAGCAAATTAGTATCTATTTTTTATGTTTCGGTTTTCTGAGACAAGGCTCTCTGCGGGCCTTGAATTCACTATGTAGACCAGGCTAGCCTAGAACTCACAGAAACCTACTTGCCTCTGCCTTCTGATTGTATTGCTAGGATCAAAGGTGAGTGCCTCTGTTCCTGGGAGCCCACTCAGCCATAGTTTATAGCCAATCCAAAGTTCCCAGCTGGGACTACCCTTAGGTTTTTAGGACCTAAGTGTTGCTTCCAATGTCCCTAGCAGAGCTTCTGAAGGCAGTAACCATGTCCAAGCATGGGGGTGGGGCTTGTGGGTGGGGGTGGGGGTCAGCACTTTGCTTAAGCAAGCAATTTGACAGAAGGCAAAGTAAGCAGCTGAAAGGAGAAGTTTACACAGCAGGCAGTTTAACAGAAGCTAAGGTAGCTGGGGCGGACACCTTGAACTTGAGTTCCTAGAACAGAGTTGGGTACAGGATTCTCTATCAAAGACTTCAAATTCTAGTTAAACTTGAAATGGCCTCAGCAAGAATTGAGGATGGGGTAATTTTTCTCTGCCTTACCCAGTCTTACCACCACCGCCTAGCTGCAAGTGAATTCTGAATGTTTTCATTACAGGAACTTTCTTTTTGGTCAAATTATTTTATTTGTAACCTTTGTGTTGGATGACCTGGTAAAAATGGAGTTTTCTTTTTTGACTGGCTCTCAATTCGTGATCTTTCCTCCTTGGCAACCACCCACCCCCATTTAAAAAAAAAAAAAAGGTCTGGGCATGTGCCACCACACTCAGCTTCTTAAATGGCCTTTTCTACAAGTTTTATGTTGTACTTTGTTTTTGGTGACGTTTGCACTTTAGCATGTCAACACTTGCTAACCTAAACCAGTTCCCCAGGCCCGGATGGTGTTCCTCCTGGGGAAGTAGGCGTGGCGGGCACGGGGTGGGGTGGGGTGGAGGTGGAGTCGGGGTGGGCTTCTGAGCCTGGGCTGCTCCGTTCTGCCTGCAGAGTCGGAAGTCGGTTTGGTCTTGTGGCCTTACTATTAAGGTCTTGGAATCCAGCATGGCCCTGGCTCAGCCTTTGTGGTCTGGGGCTATTCGCATCTCCTCGGATCCCCCTCTTTGGTCACTGAAAGGGGGCGATGTCCTTTGTGCTGGGCGGGTACTTGCTGGTGAGGTCACCTGGCTAGCAGCTGGGTCCAGCTCCGCAGGCAGATTTTTCTAGAACTCCTGTTGGGGAGGCTGCCTCCTGATGTCTGTGTTCTTTCCAGTGTCTGTGTCCGTTCAGTTTTCTGGAGGTCTCCGGCGAGGACAGGCGAGATTCTGAGTCACTATTGAGAGGAATGAGCCGGCGACCGCCCGGCGTGAGTAAACTGAGACCCTGCCCATTCCCTCCTATTCTTCCCTTTCCCTAGAGCTGTCCTGGTTAATGCAGGAAAGGGTTCATTTCCTGTCTTCCACTCTTGGTCGTTTCTGGGTTTTTTGGGGGACCCACTCATAGCATCTCCAGACTTGTGGCACTTTTAAAATCAAGTTTGGTTCTTTCTTGGAGAGGGCCAATTGAATTAAACTCGTTACTGGACTCAAAGGCCTGCTTGTTGATCCAGTGAGCTGCTCTGGATGGAGCTAAATTGTGGACATGATACTTAGTTTTGTTTTGTTTTTCTGTAACCTCGGTGGAGAGAGGTTGCCTGGACAAAGCCCAAGGACAGCCCGCCCAGGGGAGAAGCCTGCTGGACAAGAATAAGGCAGTAAGGGCTTGGCCCAAGGGCCTTTCTATACTCAAAGCTCTTTTGTTTTTCTTAAATCTCTGAAGCAAGAAGCGCTACCAGTTGTTATGCCCTAGCTGACCTTCACCCCCTCAGACTCGATGCCCCACTTACAGGAGCATCCCCCACGTTTACCAACCTGGGGTAGTGGTCTTGCCCCTTAGCACAGGATTTCACTTCGTACTTTGCCTTTTAATATTCAAAACCTCTCTGACAAATTCCTGGGTTTAGCTCTTGCATAGTAAATAGAGACTCAGTTCCCCCCATCCCCCATCTTCAGCCCCGCCCCTTGAGAGTCCATTCTCTAGAGATAGCCAAAGGTTGCTTTTTCCAGTCTTTTACACATTGTGTGCTCAACTACAGTCTGTTTGCTTTTTAAAAAGAATGTGTATTTTGCTTCCTCCCTCCCCACTTATTTGTGTATGATGGATGTTCTTTCTCCAAACTGTCTTTAAGAACTGATGTTTGTGGTATCATTATTTCTACATTTCCTGCCCTAATGCCCCTCCCTGGTCCTATCTTTGTGCAATGGTCTCTTCAGAATGTGAACCTCTGCAATTGGTTTCATTTGCCCTGATTTCCCCCATCACTCTTCAGTTCTTAGCTTTTGTGTCACACTTGAAAGAAAAAGACTGGTGTGTGTGTGTCCTGAATCATTTCTTTCCAGATAAAATCGTACCCTTGTGCTCTTTGTACCTTGTTCTATATTTATGCTCACTGATGGTCTGCACTCACAGCCACTTTTTCTTTATTTGGCCATTTAATACCAGGAAACAAAAACAATTTAAGAGCAAAAGACCTTAGTTTTAGCCTGGCGGTGATGGCGCATGCATTTAATCCCAGCACTTAGGAGGCAGAGGCAGGTGGATCTCTGAGTTCAAGGCCAGCGTGGTCTACAGAGCGAGTTCCAGGATAGCCAAGGCTACACTGAGAAACCCTGTCTAAGGTTGTGCCCATTGGAAGAATTAAGTTCTACCAACTTGATATCAGATTCACCACATACTCAAGATTGTGTCTTCTGCAGTGTCCACTTCAGGTGAAGAACATATAGTATCTCCTTCCTTCCTTCCTTCCTTCCTTCCTTCCTTCCTTCCTTCCTTTCTTTTTTAAGACAGCATCTCACTATAGCCCAGGCTGGCTTGCAAGTCGCTACGTAGCACAGGTTGTCCTTAAATTCTCCAAATCCACCTGCCTCAGCTTCCCATGTACTAAGATTACTGGCATGAGCCACTAACCCAGGCCCATCAGTGTTTTTGATCAGTTTCTATCGCCTCTGTTTTTCACTGTCATTGAAAACTCCTGCTGTTTAAACTTTTTCCGAGGCTTGGTGTGTTTTGGAGTAAATGACTGTAAATGACGTCCTGTAATGATCTGGCCTCAAGAGTGGGAACCAGAGCTTTCGTCCACCAGTGAAAGGGCCCTGCTTTTTTTGTTTTTTTTTTAAACTTCCTTTGCCTTTATACATCTGTGGTCTCTTAAAAACAATGAACCAAACAAAAACAAAAGGATTTTTCTTGAAGCTTTTAAAAGTCATTTTTGTTTGCCATCGAGTCTCCTGGAGCCCGGGCCATCCTTGAACTCCTGAGCCTCCTGCCTCCGACTCTCTACTGCTGTAATTACAGTGTGTACCACCATCCTTGACTGAAAAGCAGTTTTTAAAGTCAGTCGGTTCTTTGTTTTAAAGGACAGGTTCTTGACAGACCTCTTGCTCACATACCTATAGGTGTTAGAGCCCCAGAACGGTCACCATAACTTTCTGGCAGAACTCAGTGGAAGTGGGTACTTATATCTTCCTCTGCTGAATGAACTTCCCTTCTGAGTAGGAAAACCCAAAGTAGTAAAAAGTTCCGTGCAGAACCTTGGCTGGGTTGACTACTGAAACCTCAACAAGTTTTCTGCCTGTCTCATGCTCCGCTTTAACCCCAACGGCATGCTATTTTAATCTGACTGGTAGCTATAAAGTTGTACATAAGGCCTGGGGAACCTATTAAAATGTTGTGGTGGGAACTGGGTAGTTATATATATCACAAAGCCGTCCCCGTGGGAAGCGATGCAATTACTGTCTGTCTAGGCAGTCCGTAAACAAGCTGGCCATCATTCAGCCTGAACAAGTCTCTCTCTTTAACCTGGGGTGTTTTCATGAATGTCAGAGACTCCTAAAGAATCAGACAGGCGAGAGTACCAAGGACGACCAGATAAGGCAGATGGGCAGTTTCTAATTTTATTTTCTCTGTTATCTTGTCCATTTCAGAGTCTCTCATAACAAAGAAAATTTCTTATAATTAGAAGGAGAACTATAATGAAAGGAATTTTAGAAGCTTTATATCCTCAGTATATGTATGGCTTTTTAGTTTGCAAACTGATCTGTCTGCTGAAGGGCCAAGCTAGAGAATCTGTGTAACTGATCGAATGTATTTGCCAGGCTGAAATGTTAATTCGATCCAAGCCAAGCTTCAAATCTACTAAATATCGAGCTATTCTCTTAGGCATTTAGGGTTTGCTTCTTAGCTTACCTTTGTGTGTTTGTTTTAAAGAAAAGTACAGTATATGGCCCTGCCTAGGCTGGCCTTGAACTTGCTGTTCTTCAGCCTCAGCCTTGCAACTGCTGGATGTACAAGTGTGTATTACCAGGCTGCGAGAAACAATATGGTTCTTCCTGACTGCTGTTTCATGGAAATGTACACCAGGTTCCTCTACACTCTACATCGGATGTAGATACCCCAAACAACCACAGCAACAAAAGACAAGGCCCAGCCACTTCTTTTGTATACCTTAAAGATGACATTTGGTCTCTGAACTCAGGTTTTACCAAAACATTAAAATTTGAAATCTTATCTAAACCAAGCTGCTTGGCCTGTTGTTGTTTTTTTTGGTCTGCCAAGGAAACCAAAGCTTTGTTATTTATGAGTGGAGCAAACCCTTGCCTGTGACTTTCCCCAACAAAGCAAGTGAATGCTATGACTGTCATGGGTGACTGTTTTTAATTGATGCCACCACATACACGATAGCAGTAGTTCTGAGGATCTCAAACTGCCGTTTTACTTGGGAAAGATTACTTTAAATTTTCTATACTTTTGGTGGGCATGGTGACATATGTCTTTAATTCCAGCACATGGGAGACAGAAGCAGATGCATCTCTTTGAGTTTGAGGCTATCCCAGTCTACGTAGTGGGTTCCAGGATAGCCAGGGCTATGCAGAGAGATTCTGGCTCAAAAAATAAAATAAAATAAAATAAAATAAAAATTTAAGGCACTTTTGAATCTAGATTGGAACTATCACACTTATAGGAAACTGGGTTTGAGATTAGACAAGTGATGATTCCAGTACGTAAATTGTAAGAGTTTTAGAAATAGTTTGCCCAAAGGGCACATTTTTATTGAAATGTACTGAGAATTGGTTGACCCTTTTACTTAAGGCTAGAGGATATTTGTTGAGCTTGGCTTCAGATACTGTCTTCCTATTTAAGGTGAGAGGTCTTGCCAGCATAAAGAGGTTCTGCCTAGGGTCATACCCAGCTGCTCAGAATCATGTTTTAAGACCCCTGAAAAAGCCCTGTGGTTATTTCATACAGTATAGAACAGTCACAAGCACTATCTGCAAGGTTCCAAGTATGATAGCCCATCACGCCACCAATTCCATCTTGCTTCAGTGTTAGTTGCAAAGGGACAAATGGACATTCTGTGTGTGCCGATCTGCGGCAACTGTGTAGTCATGTGTGTAAGCTCAGGAACTCTGATAGCTGCCTAAGGCCTACCACGCACCTGACTGAAGGTGAGAGCATCCTGGACTAACCCCTACATAGCGTAAAATCAATGCCCAAAGACGGTAAAAACTGCTGTGAAGCAGTACAAGATCCAGTATGGGGACTAGGACAAGCTTTGGAAGAGAGCTTGAAACGTACAGTCTTTCCACGTGGTGCTGAGAGGAGCTATGGAGCCTTCTGAATGGAGACAGCTACATAGAGGTAGGAGCACAGGGATATTTGGAATTGGGTTATAGGTAGTGCACAGAAGTAGGAGGATGCACTTAGTGCTTGGCCTAGGTATGACACGTTTGTCCCAGCAAAAATTTAACTTTGGGTAAGATGGAACAGGCTACTCCTACCAACAGGAGTTTCATTGTTCCTGGGCAACTCTCCTCTTGTTTCTGGATCCCTCTATTTCCAGTTACTGGGATTTTAGGTATGTGCTACCATGCCTGGCTCTAGCCACTTTGTACATGGACTTTTCTGTGTGTTCTGTCCTGTAAGCCAGCTTCCAAATGACCACACAGGAACTTCTTACTAATTAAGAAAGCTCAGGCTTGTTTCTAACTAACACTTGCAACTTAAATTAACCCATTTCTGTTCATTTATGTGCTGCCTTGAGGCTTGTGGCTTGTTACCTCATCCGCACGCCCTGCTTCCTCTGCGTCTGGCTAGTGACTATGGCAGTCTCCACCTTTCTTCTTCCTAGAGTCCTCTCTGCCACACAAATCCTGACCAGCTATTGGCCGTTCAGCTTTTTATTAAGCCAGTCCCAGAGACACATCTTCACACAGTATACAGAAAGATTATTGCACAGCATCACTTCTTGAAGACCCGCTTTATTTATTT